AACTGAAGACTACAAAACCTATTCAAGACAATACAAGGGCTAGGATGGGGTGGGGTGGGTCACACCCAGCACTCTAATGTCAAAAAGTTGATTATCATGAGTTTGGGAGACTAACCTGAGCTATATAGTGAGTTCCAGCCCAGCCTGGACTACAGTATGAGACCATAATGTCCTCCCCCTGACACACACACACACACACACACACACACACAAGCAGTGGGCTAGAGATGAAGTTCGGTGATAGAGCACTTGCCTAGGACTCTGAGTTTAATCCTTGGCACGTCAAAAATAATGAAATGTAAGAGTAGAGACTCTGGGTTCCGTACAGAGACTAACTACAAGGTTATGAATACTTTGAGGCTCCCCCAGGGCAGTAAGAAGGAAAACACAACAGCCCAGAGTCTGAACGTGAGAGACAACATAGCCTGCTGTAGTTCTAGGAGACCCTATCTAATGAACCTAAAGAATGAGGGCATGACAGCCACCTCTGGTCCCTACGGGCAGTGCCACGAGTCCAAGGCAGCCACTTCTTCCACGGTCTGCTGAGCCCACCTCTAAGGTTTTCCCCAGCACAAAGCCAGCACCCGGGGGCAGAAGACAGGAAGCAAAGCCAATTCCCAGAGGTGCACACTTACCACCTGCCCTGAGCATCCTCTGCCTTTTTGCCCCTGGGAAAGGAAGTTACTGGAAATCAGTTACTTCAAAGCAGGTATCAAGGTTCCCTAAAAGAGATGCTTCAACTTGTGGTGCCCCAGCAGACAATCAAGTCAAGGTCTTGGAGTCAAGTCAAGGAGTGTGAGTGTCACTTCCCCCAGAAAGAACGCAAGTCAAAGAATGTTTCCTAATTGGCCCAAACTGCCACAGCTTACTCTGGACTCCATCTTCCAGCCTCTCCCAAGAACCGCTGCCTCTGTCCCTGGGAAGGTAGCACCAGCCTTTTTCCCCCAGCTCAGATGTCTACCTTGTGTAGAAAGCTGACAGAAAACTTGTAGGATGAGACCACAAATCTTCCCCAGTGGCTCCCTGGAACAAGGGCACCGCCCCTAGCTTTCTAGTTGGTCCCACACGGTGAGTCTGCCCTTCAGTGAGTGGTAGGAGCTTCTGCTGAAGGCTGTGGTCTCATAATCTCACCTCAGATTTCCAGGAGATATACTATTGAAAGCTGGGGGCTAGCAGGGCTGGCAATCCCAGCAATTGAGATGGAGAAACAGGAAGATCACCAAGAGTTCTAGGTCAGCTTGGGCCACAGCGAGACTGTGAAAGAAAGGGTGGAGGGGAGATAAAGGAAGGAAGAAAAGAAGGAAGGGAGTGTGGTTGTGCATATCTTTAACCCCAACACTCAAGAGGCAGAGACATGTGGATCTCTGAGTTCCAGACCAGTCTAGTCTACATAGCAGTTTTAGGCAAAACAGGTATAAGAGACCTTACCTCACAAAAAAAAAAAAAAAAAAAAAAAAAGAGGATGAGTAGCTGGGGTCATAGCTCAGTGGGTAGAGGCCTTGCCTATCATGCACAAAGCCATGAGTTTGATTCCAACACCACATAAAGCAGAAGATGCCATGTGGGTTGAAGCAGGATCAGATCAGGATTTCAACGTCATCCTGTGTATAGAGTTGAAGGCCAGCCTGAGCTATATGTCTCAGAAATGGAAAAAGTAAGTAGAATTAAATGATAGTCTCACAAAAGTTTTCTAGCCCAAAATATCTGAAGCTCCAAAGTTGGGAAAACTTTGTAACTCCACCTCTGACCCAAGCCTTGGGACCTGCGGAGCCAATAAACTATAAGCATGATGAGGAGGCAGGCAGATGGAGAGGCACACAGAGAAAAGCCAGACTCCATGTTCAGAGCTATGAAGAACGCAAGACCTACCGGTGTGAACCCGCCTGACAGAGGAGGACCAGTAGCTTACATTTCTGAGAAGTGAATGTTTCAAATTGCAAGAAAGTTGCAAGAAAAATGAAGCTGGAAAGAGAGGTAGCAGACAGGAGTGTAGAAGGCTACTGGAATAAAATACTCCAGTCTGGCTCTGAGACTAGAATTTGGGAAACTGGGTGCCTAGAAGGAACCCACAGACCAACTGACAGGGTCTGAGCTGTCAGAAGAACGAAGATAAAAACGAATCCATGGCTCCTAGGGAAGATCCTGTGGCACTAATGTCATTGCTCAAGCCAAGCTGGAAGCTGGCTACATGTCTACACCACTGGGTGAAAGTGTTCCCAGCACCGTGAGTGAACACTGCACAGCCCTAATGTTCCCCAAAGGCAGGCAAGTGTGTGCTCAAGAACAATTTGTTCTTACCAAGGAGCAAAAGCCATCCTGGTGTTTTTACAAAAATAATCGTAAGTGATCTTGGACAACTTAATCTTAACCTCAGTTCCTTGCCAATACAATAAAGAACACTCAAAACAATCGTGCTTATCTCGGGAAGCTATTTGAATATTCATGAGATGTTATTTGAATATTCATTTGCTAACCTGTGTCTGGAACTTGGAATGTTCGCAGTCAGGGCAGGTGCTCTCCATTGAATTCCACAATACCAATGAGCAAAAGGAAGCAGACACTGCACTAGGACGCCAAGTGGGGCTAGTTGTAGCTGGTTACTCTCTACAACTAACTTCCAAGTGCTAAAACGAGAATAAGATAATCTCAGAGGGGTTCCAGAAAAGTCTCAATCAAAAACCAGGAATGTTTTTAATCCAGGCCATGCCTTTAATCCAGAGGCAGAAGAAAGTGTGTATCTCTGAGTTCAAAGCTAACCTGGTCTACAGGTGAGTGCCCAGCCTGCCAGGGATACTGAGAGTTGGAGGTGAAGGGTGGTAGGTAGATCTGTGATCTGATCTACATAGTCTGGTCTACACAGTGAGTTACAGAACAGCCGGACTCTGTAGAGAGACCTTGTCTCAAACCAAAAACAAAATATAATCAAGCATTTCTAAACCAGAGTTTCACCTTTCCTAATCCTTCCTCAGCTCAGAGACACTCCCAATATACTCTGTGTCTCTTCTCAAACTTCAGGGGGATCAAACAGCTTTGCACACCTAAGCCAGATCAGGGAATCTAAACTGGGAGGCTAAATCCCTCCGTGACACCTGGTTTTTTAAGTTACAGGCCTGATTCAATTCTGCCCCTATTGGTAACTTAGAGGAAGTACATCCAAGTGTCCTGGGGTTGAGAGTGTAAAGAAAAGCCCAAAGGAACAAAAGGATTGTTCACATTGTAGTGTCTAGTCGGTCATCATAAAATGGGATGGGCACAGTCACCTGCATCTTGAAGAAAGAAATAGGCATCCCAAGAGGCTCTAGGACCTATGGTGAATGAACCACAGGACAGGAGTTAGAACTCACTTCCAGGTACTCTGGTTAATTCCCTTTCCACTCCCGGGAACAGATGACTGCACCGCATGTCCCCAGGGGTGTCTGTTGTGCTTCCATAGTTCCATCATCGGAGAGAAAGTTCATAAAAAGAGTTCAGATGTCCAAGAGGGAAATTCACTCTCCCTAGGATTAAGGAGTCTTCCTCCACTTTGTGCTTTACGAATTGTCAAGAGATGGTTAAATCGATAAGCTCAACGGAGTCTGCAAAATCATGCCGGCCTAAAGGTAGATTTCTAAACACACCGAATTACAGTGCAGGACCACATCCCAAAATATTAGAGAAAACCAATTGAGAAACTCAAATTAATCAGGTGCCTCTCTCAAATCTGAGGTTCATCTGCCATGGCCCTGGAAACATCAAAAGCAACCTATCATCCTCGCCCACACATTCAGGACCATGAGAAGGAGATGGGGGGGGGGGGGGCCTAAAACGTGGTCAAGGCGCTTTCCCTAAAATCTGTTCCTGTGAGACACTGTAATTTCAAATGTGTAACTGAGCGACGGCTTACAGCTCTAACACAGACCTCTGGACAGCAACCTTCCCCCCCTCCGGCCCCCGCCCCATACGAGACCATTCCCTCTCTTAAATCCTGGACTAGGGCCCAGGACAGGAACCAATCCCGTAATCCTGAGTATTTTAGAAACTCAATTCTCCTGGGAGTTAGAGCGCTCCGGGCCTGGCTCCTGTCCACCCCCACCTCCCTAGCCCGAGCCTAGAGTGAGGCTCCAAGCAGGGCCAGAGGCTCTTTCTTATGTAAATGACGCGCCGCGAGAGCTGGAGTTTGCTGGAACAGCAGAGAGAGGTGGGCTCAGGAGGGTCGGAGAGACTAAAGGTTCATTTTCTGAGACCAAGGAAACAAAACAAACAAACAAAAAAAAGAATACTGGGAATCGTAGGGTGGGAAGGTGAGTCCACTCCATCCGTGTAACTTTTAGCGGCAAATCAGAAAATACTATCCAAAATCTGGCCCCCAACTCGGAGGCCAAACACGGGGACGAGAGGCGGGGCGGTCCCCAGGAAGGTCTGCAGTGAGGGGGCGCCCCTTTCGAGCCTCAGTTCCGGGCAGTACAGTTCCGGGGAGGGGGCGCGGCAGGCTAGTCTTTCTGCGCCCTTTCCCGCTCCTTCCTGGGTGGCTCTCTCCCCCACCCCAACTCCAAGGGGCACCACGAGGAACCGATGGCCTCTCCAACGCATCCTTAAATTCAAGAGGGCCGGGCCCCAGCTGCTACACGCTTCCACCCCGCCTCCTCCCCTACGCTGGATTCTTCCCCACGTGCTCCTGCCTGCCGGAACTCGGGCTGCAGAAGGGGGCTCCTCCCACGTGGGCGCAGCAGTCTCCAAACTACGTGCAGGGCGACCGGCCCATCAAGAAATTAGGGTTTCTAAGGGTGGGGAGGGTGCGCGCGGGTCCCGGGTAGGTGAGAGTATCGATGGTGAGCGGCCGGGCCACGAGGGTGCCTAGCAGACGTGGCTTCTCGCGCTCAGGACTTTCCCAGCTACTCAGACTGGTTCCACGTCCCCAGCCCCGAAGGAGGAGGAAGCAGGTCCTCTGCGTGCTCCAGATTCCCGGAGAGCACGCAACTTGGTCCGAAGCGAGCCAGCAGCTCCCGCCCGTGCCGACTTACCTTCTGCACTTGGTTTTGGTTGAGCTCCGTGAATAAGCAGGCGATCATATGCGAGGCGATCATCCTGCTGCCGCGAGTCAGGGCCAAGTAGAGAAACCGAGGCTCGAGTGCTACCGATGGAGCAGGCAGAACAGTCCGACTGCTTTGAAACCAGGCCCGGGTGTCCGGCTGGGATCGAAGACTCCAAGAGCCACACAAAGAAGCCCACGATAGCTCACCAGCTGAGGGCCTCGAGTTTCGAGTTTCCAGAAAAAGATTTTTTTCCCTTTCTTTCAATTTGTTTGTTTTTTAGCCACAACTACTAGAAGGCACCTAAGTCTCACTCCTGCCGACTGGACTAGCTGCTCAGCGTCCGGTCGCTAACTTCACCCAAAGAGTCACTAAGACTCAACTTCGGAAAAATGACAGTTCTGTTCCACTCGGGCGATCGCACCTATCAGAGTCACTGGCGTGATGCTCCTGCCCTCGGCTTTCCTAAGCAGGATAACTCCGCGTAGTCCGTGGTGTCCTGAGACTCCAGCACTGGAGTTTGTGCAACAATGTGGCTTATTGAGGGGCTGCCGGCTCTTTGGGCCGCCCCGGACAGTGACGTGGGCTCACTCATTGGTTGCGGGAAGAGGGTGTGTGCGCTCTCGGCTGCCCGCCCGCGGTCCACAGCCAATCAGCGCCCAGAGCCCGCGGGCGCGGCTGCTCCAGCACCCAAGCAGGCGGCGGGAGAGACGCGCCCGAGGCTAGGGGCGGAGCTGGGCGCCAGAGTTGGGACGTGTGCTCCGTGGCTAGAGCCGGGGACTCCAGGGCGCATGAGCCACCGCCGCGTCAGGCACTGCTTAGGGTGGGGGGCGCGTGATCGCGGACCCAAGAGATGTTGGGCGACTGGAAAGACAAGTGATCGTAACAGCACACGCCGTAATCTGGTATCTAGGAATCATGTGAGGGGCTGCCACTGCCCTGTCACAAGTCTGAAACACCTTGATTCTCATCTTAATTGTGGCTCAAAGAGTCTGCGGATCCCTGAAGCGAAACCATTACAAAAGTCAGCCCTTCTTAATCATCATACCAATAGCAAATGAATTTTACTAACCCGGCTTTACAGATCAGGGAACTAGGCACTGTGTTGTTAATGAGTTTTGCCCAAGGTCACACCCCTAACAAACTGTAGATGAAGACAGGAACACGTTTCACTCTGAAATGCAATCCCCTCGCCCGAGTATATTATCCAGGCTTTCTAGAAGCCAAGAAAGTAAAAGACTGGAGAGAAAGCTTGTCAGTAGCTGGGACTGATAGAAGGAAGGAGAAAGTGCTCGTGTAACTGCTTGATCCTAGACCCAAAGTGGTGTGAAATGGTTTATAGATGCTAAGAAGAGCCGACCTCTACCTCAGCTCATGCGTGACACCAGACTCTAAGTTTACATAAATATGAATAGAAGCCATCAATATTGAAATAGCACCTCAGATGACATGAGATCGGTGCTGGTGGAGAATGGAGTTGCTAAATTACATGGAAGGAAGACAAAGCCTACCATTTCCAAAAATGTCACTCCGTAGCTCTCTCTCCACCTCCGGTGTGGTATGTGCAACTACTGGGGATCAAACACGGGGCTTTGTGTGTGCTAGAAAAGCACTCTGCCAACTGAGGTAGGTACACCCAGCCCTGAAAAGGCTCTGCTGAGCTGCTGCTACCACATTCCCTGAATCGGTTCATCTATTTCCTCTCTGGGTGATCCCTCCCAGCACCTTCACCAGCCGTGACACCATCTACACACGGGTAGCTCACAAACCTAATCTACAAGCAAGGACTTCCCTAGGGCTTCTGGCTTTCTTAGCCAGCTGTCATTTGTCATCCCTGTTGAGGTGACTAGTATCTCACATTTAACATGTACTAGGCTGAGCTTCCCAGTTTTTTTTTTTTCCTTTACCAGTTGTCTCCACAAATGACATCACCCCATGGTTTCTTCCTGTCACGTGTTCTTACATCTATTCACACCATTAGTGGATAGTTAGTCTAACTTAGCAAATCAAAGAGGCCAGACTCTCATGGCCAGGCCACCAATGATTCCACCAGAGGTCACATAATGTCACTTAACTGCCATTTTTAGGTACCTTTAGCTTGACCACTGTGATTCCTCATTCACTCAAGAGCTAAAGAGACTTGTTTAAAATACAAACCAGTGCTTCAAAGCACACAAAAGTGTGCTTCGTACACTTGTAGTCCCAGTTCTTCAGAGGTGGAGGCAGAGGAGTCAGGAGTTCAAAGCCAACTTGGATGCTTGAGACCCTGTCCAGCTAGCTAGATGAATGGATAATGGATGTATAGATGATAGATAGATAGATAGATAGATAGATAGATAGGAGATAAGATTACATTGATTGATAGAAATATGCCAGACTATCTTGGGGGGTGCTTAAAATTATTATTGTTTTCTTATCTTCAAATAAAATCCAAACTCCTAAGAATGACTATTAGAAAAGATTTAAGGCTAAACTTAGTGGTACATGCTTATAATTACAACACTTGGGAGGCAGAAGCATGCA